TTGCTCAGTGACGTCTTGTGCCTTAAGAAGTAAGTTTACTTTAATGGACCAATCCCCCTCCTGCATATACTCAATTTTCTTTTACTCCCTACTGCTACAGGAACAAAAAATACTCAGTACTTTTGGGTATGGTGATCATGTGACCCCTTTGCTTTTGTGTGGCAATGCTGGTGCTTGGTGCTTTCAGCTATATAAAACCTGTACCTTCTGATTATGACATTGGCTTTTTATGTATTTCCATAAGTGCACAGGTGAGATCAACAAGACAACCAGGCCTCTAGCTGAACCCTCTATGAAAATTAACAGGAAAGGTCTGATTACCTTCCTCAGTTTAAAGAATGAGATCTCTTCTCTGCAGTTGGGCAAACAAGCATGTGTGTACTTTATTTACTCTTTAATGGATCTGAACTGTGGAAACTGTGCCTAAAAAAAGCATGCAAAGGTCAAGGAGCTAATTACCAGACCCATTACTGGCTTACTATGCATTGCTCTGATTGTTTCTATGTGTTTCTATGTGGAGGCAGCCATCTTGATAGTTATGTAGGGCTTTGCTTTCTCATGTCAGAGCTGCCCCTCTGATGATTAGTGTGGTAATATTCAAGAGCAGCAGAAAAGGTGCAGAGATCACCGAATGACAGAATGAATGAAGCGGTAGCAAGGAAAAAAAATTGCTCTTCCGGTACAGCATCCTCTCCGGTAAAGAGAACAGTGAGCAGCATAATAGTGCCATCACCAGATCTTACTCCAAATTTCATGAACATATCAAACACAAACAGCAGTGTTTTAGATAATCTCACACTGCAGATAAACAGCTATGGGGGTTCAAGGACCCGGGAAAGAAACTACATTGCTATTTTTAAGGTGGAATCCAAGACAAATGGTCAATTTAGGTACTGCTTAAGCATATTTACATTTCCAGATTTAATTTTAACACTTTAACTATTTAAATCAAAATATTTTAAACTTTCCATATAGAAACAAAATTACTTACCTGTAATATGGTAACTGACTTGCCGATTAATATCAGAGGTGTCATCGTCCCAAGTACTGAGTATTGCCACCACCTCCCCTGGAGCATCACTTTCTTTTATAGATCCTTTGTGCACTTCCTGCTCAAAGACTGGACCATTGTCATTGACATCTGTGATGGTTACTGAAACAATGGCGGAAGAAGAAAGAGAAAGTGTTTCTCCAAGGTCAGATGCTACCACAGTAAATGTGTAAGTTGGATTTTTCTCATGGTCTAGTTCTTTAAGTGTGCTAATCCAGCCATTATTTGAATCAATGGTGAATGTTTCTAGAAGTTTGCCTTCTTCCCGCTCAGAAACAAGGCTGTAAGTGACTTGTCCATTGGCTCCCCAATCTGCATCAAATGCCTTCACTTGCATAACATTGGTTCCTACAGGCATACCCTCCATTATTACAGCCTCATAGTGTGTGGAGTCAAAAAATGGTTTATTGTCATTTAGATCCAAGATCTTGATTTCTACATCAACGGTTATTAAGATGTCCACTTTATCCAAAGGTGCACTGGCTGCCACTTTGAAATGGAACACTGGTGTTGTTTCATGGTCAACTTTTTTGTCTAGTTTTAACATTCCACTCTCTTTGTCGATGATAAAAATATTATCCTTGTTGTTTTCAGGAAATTCACCGTTGACTGTGCTGAACAGTGCATCTTGGACTGGGGTAAGCTGAAAGGAATCTATGGTAGTACCTATCACAGTATCTTCTGGCACTGCGAAGGTGTACTGATGCTGGGTGAATGTAGGTAGGACAGTTTCTGAGGGGACAACATGAATGTACACAGGAATAAGAGAATGTTTCATTGGTATTCCACCATCCACAGCTTTTACGAAGAAGGAAAGCACCGTATTTTTCAGCTGGTTAAAACTGCCTTTTGTAACCATCCAGCCATTGTCTGGATCGATTTCTAGAAGGTCTGCTACAGACACAGAGGCCTCACTGTAAAGCGAATAAGTAATCCTGGAGTTTGCTCCATCATCTGCATCAAATGCTTGGACCTGGGTGACAAGGTGACCCTTCTCGACGTCTGCCTTAACGCTTGCTCGATATTCAGTAGCTTTAAATTGTGGAGCATTGTCATTTTCGTCTACAACTAGGACTTGGACTGTACAGAAGGCAGCTCTCCCTCCACCATCCACAGCACGTAGAAATATATTGATGTCCTGCTCAAGTGGATTCTCTCTGTTGAGTTTCTCTGTTGTAACAATTTGCCCTAACGAGTCAATGTAAAATCTATTTTTGGCTACGTCGTTGATTATTGTGTAGGTAACATGCCCATATATGCCTGAATCTCCATCGGTTGCTTTGACATAAATTACTTTGGTTCCAACAGGAGCATTCTCTCTTACTTCAGTCACATAAACACTCTGTGCAAAGACAGGACTAAAAAGATTTGCTCCCAGAATCTTTATGTGCACCTGTGCTGTACTGGTAAAGAGTCCATCAGAGACAGAAATATTTAAACTGTGCATTGGCTCCATTCTTTGCTTGCGGTGACTGGACAGAGTGATGACACCACTTTTGCTATCCATAACAAAGTTCATGCGATCATTTCCAGAAAGAATGCTGTATTCTAATCTATTAATGTCAGTGCTGTCTGCATCAGATGCTTGGACGCAGGTGACAAAATGTCCTCTTGGTGCAAGCTCACTGACGTAAGACTCATAAATCAACTGATTGAAAATTGGAGGATTGTCATTTAAATCTGTTATGTAGATCGTAACTAGCACCTCGCTGCTGAGTGATGGGAAACCATTATCCATTGCCCTGATTTTCAGGATGCTTTGCTGTGACACCTCATGATCTAGTAGTCTAGCTGTGAGTATTAACCCGCTTGTGCTATCAATATGAAATGAATCAGTGTTGTTGAACATGTCCTGAACAATCTGATATCGTATAACTTTATTATTGTCAGAATCTGCATCTGTGGCGACAACTTGCAGGACTGGTGTCCCAATTAAAGAGCTTTCTGAAAGGGTTGCATTGTATGATGAAAACTGGAACACTGGAGGGTTGTCATTAACATCATTGACACTGATGTCAACGATAACCTCAGCCCGTGCACTGGTAAGTGAATCACTGGCTCGTACAGTCAACTTAAAGTATGGGTTTATTTCAAAATCCAACGGACTCACAACACTTAGCACCCCAGTGTCAAAATCTATATTAAACTGGTTAAATGGATCTCCATCAACTATTGTGTAAATAATTCCCTGCCCTTCTGGGCTTGTGGCATTAATACTTAAAAAGGGTGTGTTCATTTCAACGTCTTCATTTACCATAGCCGTATAAAAAGCCTTATCAAATACTGGCATAGCTTTGTTGACAATGGTAACTGGGAGCTCAATGGAAGCCAACAGAGAAGGATCACCAAGATCTTTGGCTATTATAATTAGTATATACTCCAAGTTGGAGATGTCAGAGTCAAACATTTTCATTAATGTCACACTGCCATTCTGCCTGTCAATTTCAAAATGGCCATAGTCATCTTCCAAATAAAACGTTACCTCTCCATTTTTTCCCTTGTCTTTGTCTATGGCAGTTACTTTGTAGATGAGAGTCCCAGGTTCAGCATCAACCTGTACAGCAGCATAGTATGGAAGACCTACAAAATATGGAGCATTATCATTTATATCTTCAATATTGACCTTGACAACAACCCGTGCCACACGGAGATGATCTAATTCCCGACTTGCTTCTACTACTAGCTCATAAACCTCCTCTTTTTCTCTGTCAAATGAGATTCCTGTGGTTTGGATAACTCCAGAAGTAGACTTGATTTTAAATTTATTTCCTGGGTTCAATATTGTATATTTTATGGGCTCGTTGAGGCGGTGACCTACTGCATTCACCACAGCAATTTTTGTAACATTAGTGGTGTTTTCTGCTATAGATGTTGAATAAAAGTCTTGGGTGAAATGCAGACCACTGTCCATGGCTTCTTTCACTAATATGGTTACAATGGCAGTGCTATAAAATTTCCCATCTGATACTTTGACCATTAGCATGTAATGATCTTTCGATAAACTGCTGTTTTTTACAGTAATCACTCCACTGTTGGAGTCAATTACAAAGTGGTTTAGGTTTCCTTCAGTTAGGGAATAACTCAGCTCTGGCGGAATGGCTAAATCAGGATCGCGAGCACTGACCTGTAGGACTTCAACACCGGCATAGGTTGGTAGAAGTAACGTTGTTTCAAATACTGCTTCTGTGAACACTGGAGGGTTATCATTGACATCACTTACATCAATAGAAACTTCAACTGGACTTTCGGCAGTGAGTTGGGGACTTCCACTATCTCTCACGTGTACATGAAAGTGGAAATATGCTATAGTTTCATGGTCCAGATAGGCTATAGTCCGTATAGCACCAGTGCTGGAATCCACAGTGAAGTACTTTTTAGCTGTTGATTCGACAATCTGGTAGACAAGCAAGGCATTTTGGTTGCTATCAGCATCGGTTGCTCTTATGACCAATGGAGATTTATCCGAGCTCCTAACTATGCTGTTGATTGGGGCTGCTTCACTGATACTACCAATATACTGAGAACTGAGGAACACCGGTGCATTGTCATTTTGGTCAAGAATCTGGATATTGACTGTGATGTTGGAAGCCATGCCTGCCATGTTTGTAGCTTGAATGATGAGTTGGTAAGATGGTATTTGCTCAAAATCAAGTGCTTTTTGAGTTGTTATAACTCCAGAATAGGGGTTAATTGTGAAGGCTCCTTCGGCATTCCCAACTCTGATCTCATAAACTAGCGTGGATTGACTTATTGCTGACACTAATACAACTGGTGTTCCTACATCCACATTTTCCTGAACCTCAGCCTGGTACTCGTTCTGTGTGAACTTTGGGTTTGAATTGTCAGACAAGGACAGAGAAATCCTCACAATGGCAGCAGCAGAAAGAGGTGGACTCCCACGGTCAATCACTTTGACAGACAGCACAAACTGACCCATCGTAGACATGTCTGGTTCTTTGGCAACAGTGATGATGCCCAATACTGGCTCAATTTTAAATGTGTTTGCAGTGTTACCTAAAAAGAAAAAAGATAAAGGTTATAGCATAAGATACATGACATCAGTAGAAATATTCAGCTATCCAATTTTGTGGCGCTCAGACACATCAATTTATATATCATGCTCAGTACAGCTTTAAAACACAAGGACGCTCTGTTACAAGATGGATAGCAGGCTACTGTGTGTCACCCATGTTAGATGATTTGCTTAGTGAAGTGTGAAGGATCAGGTCACTCATGACAATTTGTTACAGAACTGAACAAGCAGTTTATTATTTGCAATTACATTATAAAGACACGTGTGCACTTTACTGGAGCGGTAAGGCAATGCATGTGGTGCTAAATAAGTACTTCTTGATTTATTTTATTTATTTATTTTTTACAGTAAGTTTCTTTCAGAAATACACCCTTTTTACTGCACAGTGCAACAAAGGACAACGTGTGTATTGCTGAATCTATAATATGGGGGAGAGGGGGTTAACAACCTACCAGTTTCTTGTCATTGCAAATTATTATTATTATTACTATTACAGGTACTTATAGAGTAATATTAATAATAATATTTGGGTATTAGGAGGTATGATATAGGTTGTCCTCCATTTGATATGAGTGCTATATATTCACGTAGCTCAGTGTGCTTCTGTTAGCTCTGATGAAGTGTGGTCTCCCCTAGAAATGCGTAAGCCTCATATTCGTATTGGACTGCATTTATTGGATCAGTGATGTGCCTTTTTATTCTTACGCTTGTGAGTTTATTTGATTTATTTCAGTAAAGTGGTTTTATGGTAATGCAGGAGGCTGGTGCACCCTTTCTTTGTCTGTTTTATTACAGTCTTTAAGGATCTCCCCTATCTGAAGAGGGGAGCAAAGCTTGTTCATCATCAGACGTTCGATGGCATATCTGATTTGAAAAGTACATCAGAAGCTTCCCCTTCGTATTTCTGTGAAGGACTTTCACATATGGACTAGCAGGCTGGCCCTCCTTTAGTGCTGATGTTTTTTTAGTGTTTTCAGTCCTTTAGCACATCTTATGTCTTTGTGAACTGAGCCTAATGGCTCCTAATAAGTCTCTGAAAGAGGAAATGTGAGAAAAGTCCACGCAGCCTTAAAACTCAACAAATTCAAATTCATGGAGCAGCTGCCAAGCGGGGAAATAAATAAGAGGAATTCAAAATCCAATGGGGCATTAATATAGAACTCCAGAGACCTAGCAGTAGTATACAGGCCAACAAAATCCCTGTTTCAGCTCTTCATTAATTTTCTATTTTTTTTTCTGGCTCTTATTTTCAAAATTACACATCAAACAAAAAAAGTTTCCCATTGCACAGACACAGAGGGAGTTATTAGTGTACAGAGACAAATTCACTATTGGAATCCGAGCTGAAATTTCAAGTACAATGTCTACAAGATAAACTAGCATAGTGCTGGCTAAACCATATCAGGTTCAGTAACTGATCACTGTCATGGAGACTCTAGTCTTCTTACAAGTGCAAGAATTAACACTAATCTCTGCATATATTGCTACATACACTGAAGCATGCATTTAAAGGATCACTCCATTGCTTATATTAAAGAATAAATGCACATATATATGCAGGAAAATGTATTTATTTATTTTTTTTATTTTTATTTTTTTGTAAATGAGCTGGAAAGCAATGCAGCTGCAATCAGTGATTCACAGGTACCGGGAAATAGACCATAATATAGCAGCTATTATCCTTGTGCCAGTTACCATCACCATGACTAGTGCACCCGAGATAGGCTCATCCAGACCCCACTACACCACCATTACCCTTCCATACCAATCCCCTTTACTTACTATACTTACAGAAAACATAACACCAATTTTGGAGTAAAATGGCCAACATGGCCTTTTATTAACAAATCAAATTTAAACACATCAACCATTCCTTATAACAGAAAACATAAAGAGTTGTCATTGGTCTTTGAAGGCAACCCCCAAAACGATCCGAAATGCACCTGCGGACAACCATATTCCACTAGGCCTCCAGCCGCAACCAACCAGCTCAGAGACAACCATACCGTCCGCAGTGCAGCACCACCACCTTCCAGTTAAACCTTGGTTAACTGGAATGTTCCCGGGCACACCATACCAACGATGGGTCCCACACCATTTTTGTACCTCCAAGATAAGAACCGCCTCCAAAGACCAACCACCACCCAGGAACCAAAATAACCCCCCCCCCAAGAGGAACACAATACTCACCAAACAGGGAGGGCGGGAGGGAAGCTCTCTCTCCCATGTCCAGCTCCAACTGACGCCCCTCCCCAGGACACCCCACCCTAAAGTGCAGAAGACCCCACCTACACTCTCCTCTAGCAACCAGATCCCCCAGCTATCCTTTACCAACCCTAATATCATCATTAACCCTTACACGTCTTCCTTCCCACTCTGGGCCTAGTCATGCCTGCCCTGCGCTAATTCTTTTCTTCTTTATCGCTGCGGGCATTTCTTTAATTTTAGGCATCATATACAGCAATGATTTTCTATTATAATTAATATTTATACTTTATTTATCTATGCTTATGATGTGATTTAAATGTCATGCCATGTTATATAGTACCAGCCATACCATATCATATAATTTTCTTTTTTCTTTTTTGTTACATTGTTTCACCAATCATTTCTACTGTATATATGCATCTGTGTTGATTCCATCTAATTCATTTTATTTATTTATTGTTCATTCATGCTATTCCCCTTTTTTCCCCAACATATGTTTTATAATTATTATTTAAACTTTTACTTTTATGCATTATTATGTTTTGTCCATCTTCACGTCACCCCTTTATTTGGAGTTTGCATATATCCACATGACACCGCTACACATACTATTCCGCTCTGTTCCCGTTCTCTTGTCAATCTTCCCCTTCGTGTTCCTCTGTTCCTTCCTCTTTTTCTGCCCATCATTCCTCTCTGTTCCCCATATAAGGTTCCTATCAATGAGGTATCTTATGCTTGATGAAGGAGTTTGCCGGTCTACATCAGACCTTGCGCATGCTCAGAAACGCATTGCAATTTATGACATCGGACGCCGACGCTGCTCCAGACTTCACAGTGCGCCATTGCAGCAACACCACATGGGGCTTTTCTCCCTCTTCAGGCCTCCCCACTGTCTTGCCTGCACACATCCACACTGTGGTTTACCACCTAGCGATGAGGCGGTCTGAATATCTGTTCCATATGAGCCTGCTTGTCATTTTAAATATGTGAGTTGCTAACTTACTTATTTCTGTGTTTCTTCTTCGGTGGTTCACAGGTACAATGCCAAGCTCCTGCAGACTATTCCTCCAGCTGTAGGTCTGGGTATAATGGATGTAGTATGGTGCAAAAGGTGGAGTTATCCTTTCACATGCATTTTACACATTTTTTTTTTTTTAAATCTAAGTATAAGTGATGGAGAAGCTTCAAGAACACAGATTTTCTTTAGAGAAAATGTGTTACAATGTCACAAAAAACACATGTTACATGCGTTTACTATTTATTTTAATTGCAAAATGTACTAGATGTCTTACGTTTAAGGCTCCTTTCACACAGTTGGACCATCTGTCCATTTTTCATCCATCCGTTGACGGATGAAAAACGAACAGCAATATATTTCTATAGACCAATGGATGTGAATGGATGATCAGCCATTTACCATCCGTTTACATCCATGTCTGTTTCGGTCCGTTTTTTTAAATAGACGAGGGTACGTCCAGATCTGTTGAAACAGAACGAACCTATATAAACTGATGCCAATCCATTTACATTAGTTAAGTTTACGTCTTTTTTATGCAAGAAACATTTTTTTGTTTATACTTTTGTCACCTCTGATTGGTCTTTGCAACAACTAATAAAAAAACGGAAGCAAAAATAGATGTAGACTGGTGGAAATTGATGTAAACTGAACTGATATCAACAGATGTAAACTGAATTGAACTAAACTGAAGTAAACTGACATAAACATGAAAACTGATATAAAAACTGAACTGAAAAATTGAACGAAACTGAAAAACTGATATAAACGTAAATGTAACTGAATTGAACGAAACTGAAGTAAATTGACATAAACTGAACTGTAAACTGATATAAAAACTGATATAAACGGATGTAACTGAATTGAACTAAACTGAAGTAAACTGACATAAACTGAACTGAAAACTGATGTAAAACTGATATAAATTGAATCCGTTTTTTCTTTGATAAAAGCATAACTGAACGGATGACTCCTGTGTGAAAAGGGCCTTGTGCAGTCATACATGGATCTAAATTCGGCCGGTTTAGCAGTGACCAGCTGAATTTCGATCCATGTATGGTCAGGCTGTTTGTACCAAGTCAATCTATCGATCAACTTGCGCACAATCAGTCTGTTGGGTTTTTACCGATCAATCAGTGGTGTTGCCTGCTATAGCTGTATTTTGACAGATGAGGAATGTGGAAATATAGCATTGGACCCATAGGGTTATCTTTCTACATGCCAGCTTTGAGATATATTTTACCCAGTATATATATATATATATATTCTTATTAAGTTAAAATGGTTCTAAAGGCTCAAGGTTTTTTTTACCATCCTGCATTCTATGCATGAAGGTAAAAGACCTTCTGTGCGTAGCACCCCCCCCCCCCTAACACTTACTTGAGCCCATTTTTAATCCAGTGATGTCCACAAGAGCCTCGGTTCTCCTGGGACTCTCACTCCTGATTGGCTGAGGCAGCAGTGGGAGCCATTGGCTCCCCCTGCTGTCAATCACAGTCAGTGAGCCGAAGGAGGGCGTGAACCCGAACCGCTGCTCTGTGTGTGAATGGACACAGGTGCCCCTATAGCTTGCTACTTGCTGTGGGGGCACCCAGTAGGAGGGAGGGGAACCGAGAAAAGGAGGATCCGGGCTGCTCTGTGCAAAACCACTGAACACAGCAGGTAAGTATAGACATGTTTGCTATTTAAAAAAAAAAAACAAGACTTTAGTATCACTTTAAAATATCACCCAGAATGCATAATTTTAACAGCTTCCCG